TGGGCTACGGCAGAGCGGGAGCTGGCTGCTGTCACCGGCTGAGTTTTGATAGTGCGTGCACAGCATCTGTAGGGCACAGGCAGAAAAAGGGCCTGGCAGGACCAGCACCTCCATCCTCCAGAGAGAGGGATCTTGCTGGTTGCGAAGGGGCGACCCTGGCTGCACACAGGGCAGTATCCTGGGGGCAGGACTGGGCTGACGTCCCCTTCTTCCTTACAGGGAGTTAGGTAGGAGACTGAAAGACCTGGAGGAAGAGGGAAAAGAGGGGATTCAAAAGCTGGGTCATTCCTTTAGTAAGTGTGACCTATATATAGACTTTCCACTATCAGCCTCAGCCACAGGAACAACTTCTTCAGCAACAAATTTGCTATTTCTTTTCTACTGGGTAACCACATGCTGGGACCTGCACAAAACGATTCCTTCTCCTCTGACCTGTAAGGGTTTTTAAATACCCTGAAAGGGGAAGGGGAAAAAATTAATCTCTGACTAAACTCTTCCATTAATTTTTGCATCTCAAACAATGCACGCCTAGGAAGATTCTGATATTGTTTATCTGATCTGCAACCCATGTCTCTGTACAGCCCGGGTGACGAGAGTTCCCTGCCCTACAAAGCAGTTCCCTCCTTACACCCAACAGAAACTGTATAATGAAACGCCTGCTTTGTGGGAAGCTACAGATAACACAGTACTAATACGCTTAGAGACTAATTAACTGTAAAACATTAACTTTATATATTCTTGACACTTCAAAATATAAGCTTTGTTCAAATCTCTGTCTTTATAACATTTATTGCAAGGTGATAACAAACGTTACAACTCAGAACTCGCGCACAACATGGTGTTTTGCAAGTTGGTGGTATGTCTGGAATCCGCTGATAAAACTCAGCTTAAACCTACGTTCACTGCCCATAGCAAGGTATTTATTTCAAAAATATCAGTAAAATATTTTCCATTGACATAAAAAATAAATACAGTATTATAAAAAAAAATTCACAACCATTCAAAACTCCAGAACAACACGGTTTACATACATAAACAGGAAACATGCCAAAGAACAGCATTCTGAAATTCTGAACTGATTTGAAAGAGAAGAGTTCATGAAGTTGAACAGAATTTTTTATATAGACATTTTTTCAGCGTTAGCACAATGCTCTTTGTAAATCACAGTTTTAATAAACTCTCTTAACACTTATCACAGTTGCATTATACGTTATCTGTGGCACTAGTTAACAGATAACCACATTACAAAGTCCACAGATGATACTGTAGTAGCTGACTAGAGTTCAGCTCAGTGTCTTGCTGCTGCTTCCAGAAGAGCAATTTCCTCCAGTGCAACACAGTTGGGGTGGCTGGTTGCGGAGTGGACGTAGCAGTTCAATAACCCCACCTCCTTTCCCAGCACGCTCTGCACCTCATAACTCTGCAGTGATAAAAGCATGTTGATTAAAACAAACAGTCCTGGACATTGTGTTCTAAGAAGCTTTCAGCTTGGAAGACGCAGGCTATAAGGTCCTCTTCCAACAGACTATTTTTTTTAAGGATTCAAAAAGAAAGGTGCATTAGAACTGATGGAAAGAATGAATGCATTAGATTTTCAATAATTAGATCTCACTCCTGCTTAAAGTGCTGCTCCCCTATGAGGCTTTTTAAAAGAAAAAGAAAAGCTACTGTGACTTTGAACTCAAGTTTGCTGAAGTGTAACCCACATGTGCCCCCCTTATCTATCTTTCTGACACAATAATTCACATGTGCTAGCAATGTGTACAGACATACTACATATTGATTACTTTTGCTAACAGATCCACTAAAGGAAAAAATATTTTGTAACTCTTTTACCACCCCCCCCACCCTTTCACTTGGTGTTGTATCACCCATCGTCCACAACCTACACAGTCCCTTCTGTTTAATGATCCCACTGGCAGTCCACCTACAGGAGTTGTGCCTGAATGTATTTGTAGAGACTGCATTCTATGTGGAGGAGCGGGATGCAAGGCTGGGATGATTTTTTTTAAAATGAGAGAGCATGTCAACAGAAGCACTGGTGACACTGATAGCCGATACCTGGCTCGAGAGGGTCCTTGTCTCAGACGGCAAGTTTTCATCCACTTCTTTCCTCAGTGAGACCTGCCTACGACCAGCTTTTGACCATGTGCCCAGTTTCACGTGGGCTGTGCATTTGTACAGGTATGTGATACTCACTTCTCTTGCCTGATTCAAGGTATAAACAACCTTTTTTCTTTTTTTTTTTTTAACTAGATTATTTTTACCCCAGACCGGTTCTGCAGTCCAGTTCAACATGCAGCTGCACAAACAGTTCTACTGGTGTAACAGAAGAGTTGTCACAAGGTAAGGAACAAGTGGCCAGGGGCAGTGGCAGCTAAAACCAAGCTCCCTGCCAAAAGAAGTGATTACAAAGCTACACCCTTAGAAACAAACTTTAGCAACACTGGCAAAAACTGCCACCTCAAGTGGTATTTATGGTGATTAATCTTTGTTGAGATGTGCTGGTTTTAAAACGCCATAGTTCAGAGATGGAAATGCTTATGGAAAAAAAGGAAAAAATTATCCCTGCACTTCAGCTAGGGGAAAAAAAAAGATGTTTCTAAGTTGCCAGACTTCTATATACTAGCATTATAAAAATTCAAATATAAAAAATAAGTTGTTTGAATTCTAATAACTCAAAAAGGAACTACATTTTGTCAGCACATAACCAAACCAGACATAGCCTGTAAAACTTAGCAAGACTTCACTGCTATTAAAAGAGCAAGCGTATTTTGGAAATTTCTTGTCTCTCTTTGCTTAAATGAAACATATACCCTCCAGCATAAGAAAAATAATTTACAATTTCAGAGAAATGTTCCATTTTAGAAATGAACCATAAATCCCACTAAAACCAAGAAGCACATAATAGCAAAATGCGAGTAGACCGCTTAAGACACGGAAAGCAAAACACGTGTCACCTAACTGAAGATATGTAACTGGGATGACTAAACAAGATGATGAGCTGACCTTTGCTCCCTTCCACGTGCAATGGAGAGGGGGGGGATCTCAGGATCCTAACTGGACTTAATCACCCTCTGAAGGTGCCGCTCCTTTGCTGCTGACCATCCGGCAGCCAATGCCAGCCAGGCACCTACTCGGGTGCCTCCCTCACCTGCGATAAATCTGGGTCACTGTGCCAAATGTCAGGGTTCTTCTGATATCTCAGATTAAAGGAATAACTACTTCATGATTACATAAACTGTACTTTAGCCCATGGATCCCTGTGGCTTACGTGTGTTTCATTCATACGATTATAAAGTATTATCTCGCATGCATTTTGCAAATTTCTCTACTATTACCGCCTGCCAGTAATTTCATGGTTGTGCTGTTAGAAAGTAGTTGTGGTTTATAAGACCAGCCCAAGAAGGTGGGGTGCTTGGGCTGTGTCTTTGCTGTCTTTGGATCTTTGTCCAGAAAATGGAGCAAAGCCCAGCGCTGCTCGTGGCAGCTCTGAAGGTCTGGACATACTGCTATTTGCAGATAGCTCTGCAGATCCGCAGCTGAGCTAAAGCTGTCCACGCAGCCCATCCGTGGCATCCCTCTTCTAAAAAGGAGGGGGTCAGCCCGATTACGTACGATAGCAGGGCATCAGCAGGTAGAAGGTGGGGTTACCAAAGGGTCCAGCCCACTCAAATCCCAGGCTGGACATGAGAAAAAACCTCATTGTTTCTAGTGAAATCTCCAACCGCTCCTAGTGCAGTTCTGAAACAAGCTGCCTGGAAAGGCAGAATCTCCATCCTTGGAGGTTTTCAAGACCCTGCTGGCCCAAGTCATGTCTGACCTGCCCACGCACTGGCAATAGCCCAGTGCGAGTGGTAGGTCGGACGATGACCTCCAGGAATCCCTTTCATTTCTATGATTCGGGTATCTTCCCACCTGATTCATGTCTCCTGTACTCTGCCTCTACAGTAAGTTATGTAGTTTAACTTTCCTTCATCAACGTTCATTATACATACCCCATCCTCACTGGTGGAGGACATCAGGAGAGAAGAGATAGTCCTTTGTAACAGCTGGAATGAGAAAATTAACAGGTTTTGTTCATGACAAAAATCCTATGTATGCAAAGACATTCTGTTTGCAGGTTAAAACAGTCAAAGATTTATCATTTTAATATAGAACAGTTTTGTTTCTCTGGTCATGAAAGCAGAGAGGAGGTGACACAAAAGATGTTCAGAATGAGAACACGTTCGTCTTAGGCTGTGGAGAATGAGGTTTCCTAAGGACCAACCCAACGAAGCCCTTCAGCTGGACCATAGAACAGTTTGGAAACGTCAGGGTGAACTTGATGCCTGTATTATTTGAGTAAGACCTGGGAACTGGGTTCTCAGTCCAATGAAACACAAGTTTACTATCAGATTAAATTATGGGATATTCTTACATCTGTTACTTTGTCTTCTGCCAGAGCTGTTTATAAAAGCCTGGCTCAGGGTGCCTATGTGTTGACATATCTAGCCTCGCTGTACTCAATACAGTGAAGCTCATTTCATGCCATACCTTTACTTTTACTGTACTTTGAGGTCGGGATGGACAACTCAAGAAGACTTGCAGCTGCATTTTCAAAACCGGTGAGGTGACAACTTCAGAGCACTGGTTGCAATACAGCAATCCTCTGAAACATGCAAATAATGATGGAAAACCACAGAGAAATGGAAAAGTTATCAGTCATAAAATCAAAAGACACAAAAAAATCAGCTAGCTTATTCTCTAAAATACTTTGCTTGTAGACTTCTAGTAGAAAAGCCCTGGTAGAGATTCAGTTGGCAATAGCAACCAGAGGTCTGCTGTCAGTAGAACTAAGTAACTCTCCTGGCAGACCTAGAATCTTATAGCAAAAGGATTTTCCTTTTATAAGTTTTGGCAACATGGGGATAGGTTGCTATTTATAGTCCCCTCACTTAGGCAAATATTAATCTCATAACCTCATAGAAGTTACGGCAAAAGAAAATTTTTCGTATAGATTTGGCCCAAGTGCCGTTGATTTAGGCCCTCATGCAGCAAACGTTCAACGTTGTCAGCACACACTTAAGTCATATGCATAAAATTAAGGTTAGCTATAAGTGCTTGTTGGAATAACGTCTTAAACAAATATTGATGCTACATTGTTCTCCAAATGAAGCAAAAGTGTCCTTCACAGCAGAGATTTTTTTTTTTTTTTGAACTACACTACTACATGTACATACACCCATCTTTATTTTTTGCATGATAGTCCAGGACAATCTTTTTTTAAATTTTTGGCCTTTTTCCCCTGGAGGCTATACGTAACAAAGCACAAGTGGTAAAGCTTCTCATATTTAGGAAAATGTTATTTATTTCAATGGGATCAAAGCCACTCAACTTCTCTTTCTGCTTTTTGTAAGCTTTTCCAGTAGAAAGAGCCCCCCTCTTCCCTTTTTTCTAACACTTTAGGATTAGTTTGAAAAGAAAGTGATAATTGCAGATTCAAACCATATTATATCTACTTGTATCTTTCTTAATAAATTAATCTAACCTTGGAGGTTTTATCAGTTCATCAGCAATAAAAATACTACGTCTTAGTTCTAGGAAGGAACAAAGTGCAGTCTGTGCCTGCAGGAATCATTGCATCACCTGTGCTGTTATGGCTACAGCTGCAAAACACCTGGAGTGCTCTGGAGCATGCTGACTCTCACCTGTCCTGGGGACACAGTTCCAACTTTCCATTGCCACATCTGTCACATGTAGGCCAGGAAAAAGCAGTGTTCTCATTGACTCCAACAACAGTACCTGCAGAAGATTAAATTCTTACAAAATACTAACGGGAAGCTAGGAAACACAGTCACTCCTGGCTTCACAACAGGTTTGAGCCTTTCTGACTCTCAGCTTAAGAATAAGCTTCAGCTCTTCCAACAATCTCACTCCTTTCCTCCTTTGTCTCTCCAACAAGGGATGACAGGACAGCAGAGTGTGCTACATTCTAAAAATACCAGAAGGTAGATAACTGATAATTAACTTCCCAAACAGGTTCAGTTCTTTTGGTTTGGGTTTTATTGTTTTTCTGATGTGTTTTTGTTTGTTTGTTTTCTTTCTGGTCCTCTGATGTTTCCTTGACAATAAATAGCTATAAAAATCATCAGGTCAGATTGCTTGATATCGATATTTGGGAAACACAAAGCAATGAGAAGACGCAATCCGTTTCAAAAGCAGGTTAAATTCCATTAACAATGGAGTTATTCTTCATTTATACTGATTTAACAGAGATTAGATCTGGCTCACAGACTTAAGTGTGTGCCTAAGAAGGGAATGCCAAAGATACTTTGGACTAATATAAAGGGCCTTGCTACTTTTGGCAAGAAAAAAAATTATTCAGAGTTTTATGAAAGCCAATAAAGAGTGTATTATGTTTTATGGTAACGGATATGCTGAAATTATGAGTATTATTTATGAGGAAAATAACATCTAAGTATTTTGAAATGTACAAAGTGGATCACCTATAAGAATGAAATTACATTAAAATAAAGCCTCAATGTACAACGGAAGTGTAGACTAAAAAATCCAGCTTCTATTGAGCAAGCATTTTATACTGCATTCAATAAAATAAACCCTTGGAGACAAGGGAGCATTTACACTGTCTGGTCTGTAAAACAGGGTGTGAATTCCTTGCTTTCCTGGTTCTCCTGGGGCAAGGACTGACAGGAAGGAGGGACCTACACATAAACATCAAAACCATCATTTTCTTTGGGAATTCAAAGGACAGCAAGTCTGAAGATCAGGAACGGTACTTCTCAAATACAACATTTATGACCCAATTTCTACACATATAAGGGAACAACATGGATTACACTGACAGAATAAGCAATTCTGTGTGTTTAACCCCTTGGACTGTTACAGGAATGATTTTGATTCTTCAGTTTTTGTGATAAACTGGGAGTTTCCATCAGCACTTGATACTACAAGGTAGGATGCTTTCTGCCACAGCATGGGAATGTTTCTCTTGTTCATGGAAAAGAAAAGCTACCAATTACTTTGCTGAATATGTTTCCTTTTTCACTAAAAAGGCATTTCAAAACCAAAACAAAATCGCCTTTCCTGGCAGATCTGTTTCTCTCTAAACCTTTTAACTTTCCCCCAGTTATGTGCTGTATTGCAACCGCAGGATGCCAGTGCACAAGTAATACAAGTATGCTTGAAGAAAATGAATCAGGATCATACTGATGAGATCATGTCCACTGGAGAGGTTTATTTTGATGACAATATAGAGTTCCCTCAAGAAAACCACCAGAGATTACTGAAGTCAGAACAAACACAACTAAAGGCAGCAACAGGTGTAATAATCCGGTGACAGTCCCATGCATCCTGTGTGCAAAGGGATTTCTCAAGTTTCAGCTGCTGAACTGCTGCACATCTTTGTCAAGACTTTGGCTTGATGTTCACAAACCTTTTGGATATTTTCCTGAGATCCTTCTTTTAAATGGAAATGCACATAACCAAAATTTGATTTTTTACCTCTATTCTATTTTTTTGGGGCAGTGGCTGACATCGTTAAGAAGAGACTCATAATAGGACAACACCTGGAAAAACAGGTCTCTAGTGAGGAATGCAAAGAAGAGCTGAAGATTAAAAGTGACACTCTGGTTGAAATGTTCAAAAAATGACTGTGCATTATTTTTCCCAATCAGTTACACTGATTAATGGACAGGAAGGGCAAAAGTTCAATCAAAAAGAGGAACCTAGATAAGCTGATTGACCCCATTTTGTCCACACTGTTAAGAGGGAAACTGAAAAAAAAAAAAACCACCCCTGAGTAAGGGTGCTGGGTATGAAAATATCCGATGTCAAAATTCCGTCACTGGTGTCAAGTCATATACTAGGCAAATATCATTAATCAAGTAATATTCCCACATAACATGTGGCATGGACTAACTAGAATTTGCTCATAAGCATAGTTAAAAGGAAACACAGTTCTGTGCAATATGAACTGCCAACATTTAAGTCATTCTGACTGCTACCATACAGCAAGAAAAGTTTAGAGATTACTTTGCAATGCATAGTGATATGAAAATAAATCTATTAACCCTGAGCTCATGGGAGAGAACCACAGACTCATCTTTAAAAGAAGAATAACCTTTCCAGTAGGAGGCAACCATAAGTTTTCACTCATCTGTTGAAGAGCAACACACTCCATTCCAGAGCTGATGCGGCTGGACCTCTCTGAAACAAGGATTTCTGATAAACTCAGTGGCTCTGCTTGGATTGCAACATTGTCCTTCTAAAGCTGGGCCAGCTATAGACTTGTACCAGGCTGCTCAGGGCTCAGCTTTGAGAAGGAGTTAGGACTGGAAGAACTTCAGAGGTTCCTTCCAACCTTAACTTATCCTACTTATACACCTTCCCAAAAAACGACAGATGTACCTAAAATCCAGCAGGCAGCATGGGCTGTGCCCCCCCAATGCTGGCACTCCTGGAGCTTCTAACACTATATCTGTGCCTGGGGACTTGAAGAACCACCTGCATTTTTCACTGGTTAAAAAGTTGTTTTTCTAGGAAAGGTTGAGCCTGCTGAATCCCTGAGAGCCAGGAAGAGCTGTCATGACTGCAAAGCAGCACTGCTTCAAGAAGGGGTAAAGCCTTTGCAGCCTCTCTGAGCACTAGGTGAGAGGAGCCCACGTACAGTGTATGCGGGTGGCCAAAAGTACAGGAAGCAAGAGAATGAACGAGGTAATACTGCTTCTCATTGAAAGCCAGACCAACAACTCTCCAAGAGACAGAGACAGGGAGTGAATTTTAGAGATGATAAATTTTCCTTCATGGTTTACTCCATCAAATACATACATTCACACCAACATGCTATCAGTTTCACTTTTCAGTAGAAAGATGTAGGCAATAACTAACCAAATTCCAAAACACTGGATATATGTCTTAAATGCTAAAATGAAATAATTTTAGTTACACACAAAAGTGAGAGCTATCATCTTTATATAGCATTAGCATAGGTATGAAGATGACACTTTATATTCTACATTGGTACAAATGTGTGGGAACATGCTGATAACAGCTACCCTGGCCAAATTTCAGGTGAAGGAAGACAAGGTTGTAGGATTAATTTCTCCTTTTGTCATTCTTCCATCTGTAATACAGAACAGGGAAAGCGTGACACCTCCTATATGTATGAAGTACTTGTTTACGTAATAGATCACAAAGGTGTATTTTCTTTGTTCTGCCAGAAAATGACAGAGAAATGTTTGCTTTATCCTACTATGTACACTGTCAATGCGACAAAAAAAGACAGGCACTTCTCAGATTTGGTTATAAAATTAAGAGTGGAGAAGTGATGATTCTTGGTGTAATGATAGGAGGGGTTAAAAAAAAAGCACCAAAGTATTTCACACCCAGTGACAGAAATATCTTTTAAGTAACACACTATTGATGTGAGATGTATATAACAACCAAGGCTTTGAGTAAAGTGCCTCTAGTTGTGCTTGTTTTTCATTATGCATTGTTAGAGTTCAAGATTTGTCACTGCAAGGCGCTCATTTATTAATCACAGAGGCATTGCTAACTTGTCGTTCTACCCAAAGAGAAGGTATGTTTAGTAACAGCTTTGTGTGGTTTCAAACTGTCGTTTCAGTGCATCACATTATAGCTGGAAGGATTAATTTGTAACCATTATTTGCTATTATTTTAAAGCTCATTTAAAATGCTCCAGTGAAGGTATAAATGTAAAACAACATCAAGAATTTTCTACAAGGGCTACTGGAATCATAAGAGTTAAGAAAGGAAATTGTCTTTAAAAGTCAAGAGTTATTGGGCTTTTAAGGACTTTTCCCTATGGGCACTCTACAACTGGGAGGTTTAAGAAGTTGACTGGACAAAGCATTAGAGAATACACAGTAGGAAGTGTTTCTGCGTGATTAGGAAATGTTAGAAAATGCATGTAAGAAATGTTTCTGCATGGTTAGCGGTAGGACTGAAATATTAGACAAAGCAATGATCCAAAGTGGCTGGTGAGCAAATATTGGCCAAGTTATGCTAGATGGCTATGGTGAAACATTAAATTGCCCCATTGCAGCAAAGCTCCAGGGAAATCAGACACTAAGCCCTGCCATTCAGGATCTGGCTAACATATCTCATCCATCTGCCTAAAAAATATTGGTATACCTTACTGTTGCCAATATCAACAAGGCTGGTGTGAACAGAAGGCTCCTGAAAGAAGACAGTGAAGGAAGGAATATAGTAAAACAGATTGTGCATCAAACATTTATTATTCTGGGGTATGAGTGAGGGGGAGCAGAGCTTGGCTGGCAAAAGGCAAACAGATCCCACAAAGAAGTGTAAGAACTTACAAATCCCAATGACCCACGGCAATACTGTGCTCTTTTATTCCTCCACGCTCTTTGTGCAAGAAATCAATACAAGGGCCTAACAGATTAAAGTGAGCACAAATAATTAACAGCATTCATTTCAGCAAAGGCCATACGAACCTCTTACAGCACAAATGGAGTTGGGCTGTGTTGTAGAATCCAGCTCATCGAGTCTGACGGGGCCAGTCAGCTCACTGAGGTCAGCACCGGCAGCCGAGTACAAAAGAGGCTTTTGTAATAAGAGAACAGTACGTTCAACACAAATAATCCTACCTGCCAACAGAGACATTTCAACTCAGTAAAGTAACAAAGAAAAAGGTGATCATGTTAATTGTCATGGCCAATAAAGACAATGATCTCTGCCAGCTACTAAACAGATGGACAGACTCCATCAGGTCTTTGCAGGGACAAAGTATTTTGCTCTCAGTGATACGTGCATCATGCTCTCATTACACTTCGCAACTCAGGGGGAAAAAAGATGTTTTGAAAATTCAAATATGGCAGAAGAGAGTCCAATTCCACCCAGACTTCATCGCACCATGCTCCCTGCAAACACCTTACTGTCTCTTCCTTGGTAATACATTTGGGCAACCCTTCAGGTGGTCTTCCTTTGTTTCAAAGACTACAAAGAGCAGGTACATGCAATGTTTTATTCTCCAAAGCAGAGATTTTTGCCTCAGGATGCCCAGAGCCATTTACAGAGGTTGTTGATTCAAGTCCACTTCTATTTTGGAAGCGACTGAAGGTGTGAGATGTGAAGTACCCATGCAGGCACCATACAGAACCACACCTGAACCTCAAAAAAGAGCAACTAAAAATGAATGTAAAGTTAACTACCATCCTTACATGATCCACACGGCAGCGAAAGCTCACAGCTAAGAGTCTGGAGTATAGGAGAGTTTGTAAAAGTTGTGTGTCTAGGGACACTCAAATATCTATATTCACCCTCTTACTCATTTTAGAGACAGTAAATTCAATAAAACAGGTTTCTGCAAGAATATCAAAACAAATGAAACCAAGTTTCTTAATACTTTGGAGTTTTCTGTCAGATAGCAAATTTGATTGACACTGATCACTAGATTCAACAGCCATCAGGGAAGACTGACAGAAATACTGGTGGACATACAGAAAGATCACTGAATTTCTCAATTACTTTGGAAATCAAGCCAAAAATGTAAAGAAAAAAACACCTTATGGGAAAGCTCTAACTACAACCCCTTTCAAATTTCTTCCCAAACTTGCAATGTCTCATCTTCATCTGAGAAGGAAAGTCTCTGTAGGTCACATATTGCAGTGTCAGAGATGAGGATATTACTTCCATTTGATTCCAGCTGCTTCAAAACCACGCGTAAAGCTTACCATTTCCCCACAGCGCATCCTTGAAGAAGATGAGTCGTGAGGCAACACTGAGTGCTTCTGTGATTTCCGTAGTGAGAACACACGATGCAGCGACTGACAGAGCAACAACTTTTGGAGTCGTATGAACCACATTTTGCAATGTGGAGTCAGTCACAAACAACCAAATCTCTCTGTGATTTACAGGAACACTATGTTTTGTCTACAATTTCAAAATTAAAAAAAAAAAAAAAGATACAAAATTGGAATGCAGTTGTTAATTTTTAGTAGAGGGAAAGACTAAAATAACATTCTAATATTTAAATAAATTACACAACTGTCAGAAATTATTACTTTTAGGGCTTGTACAGGATAATGAATCAAAGCTTTATTGTAATTTTTCATTATTCCTTATTGCAGATACAAACATCTCTACCTTAAATTAACTTTCTGAGGTTGACCCACTGGAATCTTGGCTTTACCTCTATCTCCTATCACGCTTTCCCACAACACACTCAGACCGTATTAAGGATTTGAAAAATCTATTTTATTTTTAAAATATTGTATGCTAGATAGACTATGTGTTGTATATTTATATCATATATATAGATGATATATATAAGTTAATTGGTTGTTTTTATGAACAAAGACTTATATAATTTTTGCCTTAAAAAAAAAAGTCTAATGCTACTAATATTATTCCTGTGTGCGCAAATTTTCCATGTACTGTTATCTGATTCTCAAGAGCACCAGTCTTTGGCTAATAGCTATTGCAAGATACAAAGGTGGAGGGTTTTTTTCCTGTTAAACAAACATCTCTGCCTATTAAAAATTCAAACTTAAAATATTTAAATGAAAATTAAATACTACAATGATTGGAGAGACACATATCACATAAGTATTTTAAATACTACAATGATTGGAGAGACACATATCACATAAGTATTTTATTCTCAAAGATGCATGTCTCTAGCACAAGGTAATGCAACAAGAACCCCGGCTTATTGTCTTCAGTTGAATTCAAACCTTGAAACCGTTAACCACACTAAAATTAGATTTTTGTTCATGCTAGCAGCTCTTAGAACAAATGCAATAATGACTGGGAAAATTAATAACTCAGCTATTATGGTTATGCCCTAATACAATATATGCTGCCTAATGCATTGAAGCTGTTTGTTTGCCTAGTAACTACACACACTTGAGTGCCCCCTCTGCGCAGATAGCATTAGGACAGCTTCAAAGAAAGAATTTTTACAGCTGTCCCATGAGAATTACTAACACATTAAAAGCTGGCTTTCAGAAGAATCATCCAAAAAGTAAATAATAACAGCAAAAATCACAAGCTAGTAAAAAATCATCTTGCTATGTGTGACAATTTGTTCTGAACAGAGAGGACACAACAGACAAATAGCAGCAGGATTGAGTTATAAGGAAGGACAGCTCCTTAACCACAGATGGAATATATTTCTTCATATTCCTTCTGTACCACAGTACAGATTCTGAGTAATAATAAAAGCATATTTCTATTCCTCCTTCACACAAATGAAGTACCTCAGAACACTGCAGACAGATAGAGTAAATACTATTTTAAAGTGCATTTGAATTGGCTCACTTAGCAGATTATCTAATAATAATAAATCTGCAAAATAAACCAAAGGATATGTCCTGCTGGCAAAGGCAACTGCAGTAAACAAGCTGCTCTTTGTGACCTCCTTCTGGGAGGATTAGGCAAGCAATACCCTAACAGCAGGTAAATACCTTCACATTCCTATAGCAGTTATCCAGAAGCGTTATCCAGCAGTTATCCAGAAGTTATGCAGAAGAAGAATATCTTCTATTGCTTTTCCAACATTACTTTCAAAAAGTTGATGAGCACTCAGGTTGTTCACTTATGAAAAGTTAGTGCTTACAGTTCAGGAAGTGAATAGCTATTAAAAAAGCAGCTAATAAACCTCCCAGTAGCAAGAAGAAATAATAGACTATTTTTTCGGCTAGACAAGCTTCCATTCTTCAAAATCACATCTGTTCCTGCATGCTTCATCTTTAATTTAGTGATGAAGTAGTTCTACACAAGAATACCCATGACCCACAGCATCTCACATGTAAATGTTCCTGAATACAAAAATGCTTGGCTAGGATACCACTAGTCTGTAATAGTTTGTTGTTGTTTGGTTTGTTTTTTTTTTTTAATATAACAGGTTTCTTGGAAATAGAAGTTTACGCATGTATGTGTCCATCTTTCTGTTAGCACCCTAAAGATCCCATCAAGGTAGCCCTAACTGCACGTTTGCAAATGCTCTGTTAAATTCTCACTTAGCATGGAAAAAAACTACAAGAAATATCCCCTCATCTCGGGAGTTAAAAGTAATCCCTGCCTAAAAATCAAATCATAACTCATTGGCTTTTGAAACAAAAGGGCGAGACCTAAATTAAATTTATGTCTTACACTGGTGGGAAGCATCTCCAGCTATTTTGCTGGCCATTCTGGAATTTCTTTGTCTTTGGTTCATGTCCTTTGATTCATACTTTGTTTCTTGTGGAGCTGATGGACAATTGCAAATTATTCTCCACCAGAATTCAGTGCTGGCTGTACTGAGGATCCAGTCGCCAGGAAAAAATAAATAAATCAGCAAGAAAATATTCTTTTAACTACTGAGGGAGTTACCAATATTTTGAAGGAAAACTGTAGCATCATTCAGAAACAAATAAAACATAATTATACGTTTTCCAACATAGTATGAATGGCAGATGTATTTACCTAAGATTTCCTTCTTTCTACTAACCGGACCATAAAAGCCAAATTTGCCCGAGGGTCTTCTATTGAAGTCAACAAAAATAGTCCACACACTTGCATGCAAAGAGCGAAACTGTATTTTTATATAACCATCATCTGTTAAATTCTTTCCCCAGACACTCAACTCACTGGGAACTTTTCGCTACGTATCTAAGGAAAGCATTTAGCTATAGATTGAGTCTCAACAAACTTCCCACAAGCTTCCTTACAAAGGTGCAATATTATCTCTGGTTAGATAGCAGTTTATTCAGAAATAACTAACTTTTTAGACTGAATGGTATTGAAACTGGAGATGCAATTCATTTTACCCATTCACAAGCATTTTAGACTTGGTGATAATTCTCCTCATACAACTCTTGAAGATAATCCAGGAAGGTTTTGGGTTTTCCCCTAAACAAGATAAACGGTGGCTGCTTCACATAAACATGACGTTGATTTTACGCTGAATTCATTGCTAGGTGAAAAGATTACCTGCAGCTTTAGATACAGCACTTGTGCCCAAAAGCTACACCGTTCATTACAACCATTGATCTGAAAATAGTACAAAAACAGGGAATGAGAAATGTGATACCAGAAATCCAGTGGTATAAAGTATTTGTTATCTGACAGGTAAAGCAGATTACCTGAAGAATTTCCTTTAGACCATGAACAGCTGGTGGCTGGTACAAATTAGAAATCTGTTCCTCCTCATCTACTTCCACGTGTATTTCACCAGACTGAGCAGTAAGAATATAACAGAAGCTGGGAGGAGGAAGATTAGTTGTCATCTATTAAAAAGTAAGGAAAAGAAATGTGACCTTAAAAAAGGCACTTTAATTTGGCCAGTTGGGTTTTATAATATTAGCCAAAATGAACCACATCATTTATATCTTAAGAGGGATGGGGAAGAAACATGATACAGTTAATAACAATGACTCTCTGAAGCAGAAGTTGGTTAATAAACCAAAATTCACAAGTTATAAATTAAATCAGCTTGTGCATATAATTTTCCCATAATTTGACATTAATCCTCATCACAAAAACATCTCATGATTTGGCAGAGTTGGCAAACATGGAGACTATTTCAAGGTGCTGCTTGTTGGTTTTGCATTTTTTTATTACGTGGTAGGAGTGCCCTGATTATTCTTTTTTTAACATCCGTAACTTTTCTGAGATTTGGGGACTGTTGCATGTGGGTGGGTTTTTGTGATAGTAAACAGCTGACAAACTTTTAAAGCTGCCAAATTAAATCCAGGACAGCACAAGGAGATAATGAAGAACAGGAACACAACAGCTACAAGAACTGCTCTCTTTGTGTTATGCCAGATTTTTCTTTCCCCCTTAAAAAGTACCGTGACGTAACAGCTTTATCAATCACCACTTAAAGAGGTCCCAAACTAGAAAGGCTTCTCAGGGAAAAAAAAAAGACAATGCTACAAAATAATTTTTATTGTGGATATGATAAAATATTCTGCTAGTGATGTTTGTTGTTAATAAAGCATTTCATTTAATAAAAGAAATATGAATCTGTTAAAGACAGCTGCCCACCCATTAAAAAAAAAAAAAAAGGCAATAAGGAGAAAAAAAACCCCCCAAAAAATCTACTCAAGTTCTGCTTGTCTCTGACAGCACTAAAGAAGGTATTTGAATGTACACATGGCTCAAAATAAATCAGTTCCACAGGTCTCCTCCTGACTATATTATCAGTGTGCTGGTAATATTATTTATGTACCTATGTATAAAACTGCTTCCATAAAACAGTTCATAAAACTATACTGTTTGTATCAAGCAAAATACATCTCAACTGAAGAAACTCCACCCAGCCAAAAACCTGCAGCAGCAGAACGCAAGTCTGTGGAATGAATCGGTATTTCAAACCCAGGACAGAAGTGTAAATTGCACAATTATGGAAAATTTCCTCCATTTTTAGATTGCTAATAAAACAGAGAAAATGAAGAACAAATTAGAATCATAACAACATTAAACAACATTTAAGAGCTTTGCTCCATCTGTGGATATTCCCGTTCTGTTGTCCACAGTATTTTAATGCACAAAACAATCCATTCCTCTGAGACTTCCAAAATGTCTAGGTGAAAGAGACAGTCCAGGAGAGAACAGCCATTTTACTCAGCTTCAGTCTTGGTTTTATATATAACCAAGAACTTTCTATTCTTCAATATGAACCCCTGCACAATGCAAAGAACACTCTACATTCCAGAGAAAAGATTCTTAGACTTCAGAAAAAACTAGTAATATCCACCTATAATGTCCCCTGGTTTTGAAACTTATTTATTTCCAGCTTATTTTTTTTTTTTTCTAGAACTTGCATCCTGATTGAATCCCCTAGGCTCTAACACAGATTTTTAATACCACAAAATTCCTCCCCAAAGAACAGCCTATACAAGAACACCACAAGCACTTAGCTACCCAGAAGCTTCTCAAATAATTTCATATTACCAGAATGACAGCTGGTATTACAGAACTCTTTTTTCAAACACAAAAGCAAATTTAAAATTCAATTTTACATTTGTAAAAATATGGTAACATACTTTAAACCCATTCTAATACCTCCCCACCCTCGAAAATCACAGAAACATTCATTACTTTTTAGTAGATTATTTTTGTGTTCATCCTTCGACTGTCTTCATGTGAGACAAGTATCAGTCAAAGTCACCCTAACTAGTAAGAGAACCGATTCCAGATTCCAGCAGTCAGTCTCTCTTCACAAAGGTAATCTTCAGAAAAGTGCTTTTGAATCTAAGGCTGAAAAGTGCTTCAAAAGAATGAGTAAATGAGGATTAAGAAGCAGCTAATTGCATTGTTGCTGAAAGAAGATGCTGATCCAAAGGGCTTCAGGTTAGCCTAGGAGGTTGCCAGAACCAGTAAAACCAAAACTCAGTAGCTAAAGAGAGGGAGAGAATACGTTTCCCAAAATAAACATGATTACACTACCAATAAAAATAGTAGTTGTGAGTGAAAAAATACATTTCCATAATAACAAGACTTACCACTTCAGAGTCTTGACTTTGTCCAGGAACTTTCACAGGCACTACTGGAGGCCAAAGACTGTCTATCAGGCTAAAAAGTCCTAATGCCCTTCAAAAAGACCAATAAAATCAGGTTTAAAATATTTTCCAGTGTTATATATGAAAAAGATTCATTAAGAAATACACTTTAAACCATTGCATGATTATGAAAAGAATTTCAAATCATATTTGTTTTCTGGAAGCTGGTTTTGATTTGGTCGAATTAAATCTCCATCATTTTTGCTGCAGGGTGGAAAGGGAGGGAAGGGATGTATCACATTCAGTGACAAGCAAGTCATATTTAATCCTTTGCCACGAACAGCCTGCTGCATTATAAAATCCAGGGGAACTGAGGTAAGCGCTAGTTTGGGAAGGACACAGATAGCAGTACAACTTATTTTTAAAAAATAGCTTTTAACTATTTTAACTGATAGATTTTTTTTTTTAAAGTTTTGCTTCTAACATTTTCATTTTTTGCTTTTCTCTAACAGCTGACTGTAACTGCTTTCAGGAAAGTCCGCAATTATCAGATATAGAGAAACAGGCAAGATTTTGTTGTCTTAAATACATGTGCAGAGGACGGTCTCCTTCCTACATAGCTGCTCATCTAGTTGCAATTTTTATGTATTAATTTTGCAAGTTTCCCACTTTCAGTTTAGAAACAAGCAAAAAATTAACAGCCCAGCATATTAAGGGAGAATGCTGCAGATGCTTTAGCGTGCAAAGCTGTACTCCGCAGCAGTTCAGTGGCTGTTGACATGGCATCCTCGCTGGACAGGCAGGAACGTCTGAGGGAGAGGCCAAGAAAACAGTTGAGGGAAGGGAAATAGCTACAGATAACCAAATTGAAGAGGCATGCATTTTTGAGTTAAAGCAGTTATCTTGTCCTAGTTCTGTGGAGTCAAAGCACAGAGATCTAGATTTTAACCCACACTGCCTCTGAGACAGAGTCCTCTGTTCCTCCAATTAAGAAAGCCACTATTTCTGAAACAGCTCTAAAAACAGAAGTCCAAAACTTGCCAGAAGTAATATTAGCTTCTAAACTCAACTGTTTAGAAGAAGGAAAAGGTATACTCTGGGCCAGGGCTAAAGCATGTTGCAATACGCTGCTTCTCTTCAAGGGGTCACGGAAACTCTTTTTTAAAGTTCTGCTTTTAGCTCACTTCTGCTTAAGCGTATTTATTTCTGTATTTCCCTAGTCCTTCTCCAGATCCTTAAGTATTTACACTTTGGGTATCTATAGGCAGTAAACTTCTTTCCATGTTTTTTCACAAAGCGCCAGGTATCACCTATGCTACAGTGTTAATAGCGATGCCCACGGACCGGCACCGTAAGAAGTGTTATGAATGTAAATCTCAGAGTGGATCTTGTGGAATAAAGTTTGTGGTTCATGATTCAGGTACCAAGCTGGCAGATTAAAGAGACCAGAAACAAATGTGCTGCTCTTTTACAGAAATTAACTTCCTGACTTACATGGCATAATTGCTGAGTCTGTAAAAGAAGGCTGAGCTCAGAGGCTGGAGGTTTTTTTGTTTTGAACAGTGAGAACACTACAACACACAAAGCAATGCTTCTTAGGTATTAAAGAGACTTTACAGCAAATTGACTGCTGCTTGAATTCCGGATCAGGGTGACATTTCTGTCCTGTATCGTACAGGAGGATATCCTCTCTACACTCACAGGAGAGCCAATGCCCAGTGGAACAAACCGGTCTTGCTAACTGGGACATGAAAAGGAGTGACCACAAGCGAGCACAGCCTCCCCTACAACTCAGGGTTACACAAGCGGCCTTCCTCGCACGACACGCAGCACGAGGGCAAGGGCAGAGCACGGGTATGAAAATACCACAGACTCTGTGCGTGTACAGAGATTGCGTATTTATCAACTTACAGCAAATAAACTGTTGTTCCAGTGCAGATCACAATCACATCTCCACGCAGGCCTGACACTGGCCCCTCCTCTGTATTTTTAAGTTTGCACAAGGGACATGAAGTTATCCTGTATTCTTGAGCTCTCTTCCAGCTTGTTACCCATATCAGAATATGGAAGACACATGGTGCATTTTCTTCAATTACTTGTGTCCTTTTGGAGAATGTAATCTACTGCTTGAACTAGGAGCACTTAATCACTAGTAAACGACAGTATTTGTTTACAAACAGGAGCAGCAGTTGTATAGAGTGTCTCCTGAACATCCTGGCCTCACCCTTTCCTTTGACAGGAGCAGAGGCAAGCGGCAGGGACATTTGAAAGTTCCAAATCACATAGAGCAGGGATTCTTCTCTGCCAAAGGGGATGTTCTCTCCTGGAGCTGTCACTGTGTCAGTCAGTGTCCCTGGTGAGGAACTCCCCTCTTGCTCCACCCATTTATATGCTGCCAAAAAAGTTACCTCTCTTTTCACGCTTATGGACTTTGACTTAACAGAAGGGGGGACGAGGGGGGCAACAACTGTGGAGAAACGGCAAGACATTGTGTCCTTCTCTGTAGAAAATCACTATCCTCACAGAAAGAATAAAAGTCATTCTCTTTATTGGCTAAGCAACACTCAGATCCCACTTCAGTCTGACTTGAACAATGGACGTATTTTATCCAGTATGTGTATCCTTCTTCAGCTATAGAGTCAGGACAAGAGACGAACAGCTGGCTCTGTGCTACAGCGAAGGGACGTGGTTAGCCCCCATGTGCACAAAGAGCCTTTCTGGCTACAGAAGATGAAATAAAAATTTAAAAATTTTGCTCTGTGAGTGTAATTTCTAGTCGCTATTTCAAAAAATTAAAATAATTTTGATCACAAAAGGACAGTCTTCTAAAAAAGGAAAAGTAGAGTAAGAAGTGAGAAGAAACCAGCTCAAGGATAAAAAAAGAATACATAAAGTAATTTGAATAACTTTTTTTTGTACTTCAGAGAGAAGGACTCTACTGTAATATTCTATAACTCTGCTTTGAAAAAAGAAAAACCAGACTGAATCTGTACCAGGAGAAGGACAGAAACCATCTATCAGATTCCAAATGACAGACTCAATCCCTTACTTTCCATGACAGACTGAAATCTATGTTTGGTAAAAATCTTTTTGTCCCATACTAAATATGTAGATGTCCACTGTTTATCACCAACACAGCGAGACCACCAGTGACTCTAATGGAGTGTTATAGTACAGACTTCCACAGAAGTATGTATTCACAACAGGCAGTGCTCTACATACAGGTACTCTTCTCTTCTGTAAACATACATCTTCAAGTTTTGCTTAATAGAGAATGATACTTACATATGTGTGTGTATCTATACACTCACAGAGACACATATAGGTACGCATAATATGCAAAATAAATTTTTTTAGTATCCTTAATTATTTTTACTATCCAACATGCTCAACTTGAACTTTCCTTGCTGAACTTCGGTCTTTTCTTTTCTGCATATCCATAAATACAGACTTCCTATTGTGCACCCAGACATCAGTCAGAGGATTTTAAAGATTTCATACTGTTAAACAGGCTAAACACATGGCTGCAAAAATGCAAAATATATATCCAGCACATACAGAAATTAATCCTCACCTATTTAATAAATCATCTTGAACTAATCCATAGAAAAATTACTGGAAGATAGCGAGTGATATTAATAAAACAGCATTTACATCTCCCTCCCCACAATTGTTATCACAGATGATGACTGTGTTGCCCTGGACAGAAGCTGCTTTTTTCACGTGCTCACCTAAACACCTTCCTTCTCAGTTTCACAGCTCCGCAAGAGACAGAGTCACCTTCTAATTCTAACCTTCCTGGCTTGTTTTCGCCCTTCACTGCAAATTCAGGTGGCACACATTCATATGTGCATACATGCATATAAATGTTTGCTCTATGATTTTTGACAAAAACATACAAATAAAGAGAAAAGCTGTTATAATTATATTTAGACACCCAGTAAAGTGATAAACCAGTATCTACAGTCTCAGCACATCTACTCTGATCTTGTAGAAGATTCATTCATTTCATACTACAAGCTATATTACAAAAATCAAACAGCTTCAAATTTTGATTTTTCATAAGTGTATTTCTGACTTTGATCTGACGACTTATTTCATAACTTAGTGAGATTTTGTTTATTTCTGTCACAAGCATGAAGTTTCACATACAGTTTTGTTCCAAGAACTTTGTGTGTGACATGCCTGATTCAACTTCTTAACATTACAGCTTATAGTTTGGCGGATTTTTCAATTTCAACACCAGAGGTTCAGGGGAAAATTACTACAGGGAGAAAATATCAGCAATATCAAATAAAGTAGAAGGAAAACAATGCCCACAACTAGGAAAAGAAGAAAGACTACGTAAGGTTTGCGGTAGGGGACAGAAAGAAAGATGCTAAGATTCTCCTCCAACGTCTTCCACAGCTTTGCTCTGGGGACTCAAGACTTGGCACTTCTCTGTTTCCTCCTCTCCTACTCTCCCAGTGTTCATTTCTAAAATGAAACCGTTTTCTTTCAGCAGTAGCAGTCTCAGTTATTAAGAACTCTAAAGTAATTCCTAGCCCTCTGTGAAACATCTCCTAGCTCAAAACTAAAAAGAAATTCAGTAATAATCACCTACAGTGCAAAAGCTTCAACTATCATAAGACATGCAATCCAAATATAAAGCTGCTACTGTTGGCGGGCTCTCCCTTTAACTGACCTATTAAGATCTTGTAGTGCACAAGCTATGCAGCAGCGTATTTTTTCAGACTTTTGTAATAAAAGCAATAAAATTATAAAGCAAAAATCTGAGCCTACTAAACCAGCATCTCGATCAAAACACAAACTGGGAGGAAGGGTTGCTGGCTTTTTTCCCCCAAGTTTTGTTTAGATATATGGAATTATTTTGTTGAATAATTTACATACTTTAATAATTACATTTTCTATAATTCAATAGAAATTACACATACTACATCACAAACTGAAATTACAATATAAAACTACTTTTGATTCAATATGGATATGCCTATGTAATGCTGGTTACTCAACAGATTCATGACAGAAGCACTGCAGATACAATCAGTAGTCTGTGCTTGTTAAAGAGAAGAAAACTCAGGAAAAAAAGTTAATTTCTGATTTATAAGCAGTCATCAAAAATAATTTAAAAATAATGCAAATAGTCAAAACTTCAATGTGATTACTTAAATTATGCTTTAAATGGAACTCGACTTTTAACCATAGCAATTGCCAAAGTGTTTCAGGACCTCAAAACCTCAGAGACATGGGTGGCTCTTGTAGATGGCAATCTTTTTGGAGGAGGGAGAACACAAGGAAGGAAGTTAAGACTTCCTTGCTCTGAGGAGTGTTCTTACTATTATATTTCCTGTCAACGACTAAGCAGTTGAAACACTTTCTTCTATAGCACTTAGCGGTGGTCCTCTCTTCTGAGTGTAAATTAAAAAGAACAGAAAGTATACAGTGAAGAGTAGAAGAAAACAGAAGCCAGTGGCCAGAGAAGCATGGGACTTAATAAAAAGAAAAAAAAAAAGGGAAAAAAACCCTCAGGCACAATAGTGACCAACACTAAAGAGTGGGACGAATACAGAGAGATTTCACATTTCAGTGCCTAATATTTGAAAGTTTAAAATGACAAACAACAGAAGCCAGCTTTATTTGAAAATGCAGAAATTTCTCAGAGAAACATAATACTGGTTGATGAACTTAATATTCAGATTCTACTCACTGCAGAGGAAAATGCAACAGCTAGTACAGTAAACTATTATGGAACAACCTGCCATGAATTAAAGGTTGGATCATGTGCCAAAGCTCACGAGTTGACCTATCTTTCAAAGTATTTTACCTTATCCACCATAAGTGTGGATTTTAGCACTATCCATGAAAGAGCTGCATCTTCTTTTGAAAACTGTTAAGCATTTTTTCAATTTAGGGACAAGATCGGTAGCGACACCCTACGTTAACTATATATTATGTTAAAGCATTTCTTCCTCCTCCCCTCCATTTTTAAATTGGTGTCATCCTTCTGTTCTGCTGAATAGAAACTCTTCCTCTTTCTACCTTTTATGAAAGCATAAAGAGAAGAAGCTGGTAGGTCTCCTAGACACAACAGTAAAACAACTCAATGCTTGGCAAATCAGGTGAAAAGACACAAATTGTCAAAATACAAATTATTATTCTGTGTGGAAGTCCAGTCAGGGCTAAAAACTTGTACTTGTTAAAGTGTATGGGTATTCAAAACCCAATATTTAACATCAACTGTGTTTCTCTCAATCTAAGGTTACTATAATTCTAAGTTTTCACAGGGTTGATCTTGGTCAAGACAAGACATGGCTGTGTAAGCTCTTATCCAGCTCTTCTTTTACAACACAACTCTTTTCTTATCGGAAGAAGAAAAGGGTTCAGTTTCTTTAGTACATCTTACAGTACAGGTCCATTCCAAAGATCAGGTCAGGTTTACAGCCAGGTTTTCACCCGGATGTAAAATACCCATTATTATAGGTTTTTAGTCCTTGAAAAGCAGTTTTAGCTTACAAAAGTGATTTTAAAATCGCATTTACTGGAATGATGTTAAATAGTACTTTAAATTAAATCGGTGATGATGAGGAGGGATGATGGCCCAAAAAATTTTTGGAACAATAACAGTGGTCTATTGATGCAACAAGCTTGAGAACCCCTTGTATCTAGCGAATGAAAATAGCCTCTGTCTCATGGAAGGACTGTCTGTCTCTACAAGAGGGATTACAATCCATGTAACTGTGGGACAACATGCACAAATGGGATCTTATTAGCCATTCCTGGCTTTCTCCAGATCTTGTGCTTCAAAGGCAAAAAAAAAAACCCTAATGACTTTCGTTCATATTTCCTACATTTTATTCCCTTTTATCCATTTTAAAATCCACTGTCAAGACTCCAGAAAAGAAACAGTTTAAAAGCCATCTCCTTCTAAAAAGTAACTGGAGTTCTCAAAAAAAAGGCAGCAGTCTTTCTTGCAGGGCAAACCACATAGTTCTTATTCACTCATGTGCTGCAAGCCAAGGTTGGGCACTCAGAGGCATATCCCATCATGTGCTCGGATATACCACTGCCTCTGGAAACCCATTTATCCAGTGGCAATGAGTTTTACAGTCTAATTATGCTGTGTGAATAAGTACTCCCTTATATTAATTTCAGCTACAGCTTTACTGTGGTTTCCATCACACCTAGAATGACACAAAACGTGTCCCAACACTTAAAAGTAATAACAAGTTATAAAGCAGAACTTAGGCGAAAAACAATTAAGAAAAAAATAAATCCTTGAACAATTCCACCACCCACCCAACCATCTTGTACAATGAAATCACGTTTTAACCACTGCACTGTCCCCGAAGCCTTTTTCTTTTAATGTTTCCTAGCAGGGTTACTGCCAGCATAGCTCCAACTGAGCCACCAGCATTTTCAGCAGTGTGTCTTCTAATCGTCCTCAGAATAGCCAGAAGTAAGTTACTGCTGCTTTGAAAGAGAATTTACATTAGAAAAAGTCTGTCTCTTATTAGCTAGGCAGAGTACTGGAAACACCAGCAGCCAGTTGTAAAACTTCATTTGTATCCAGAATTCCAAAGCCATTATTTAATTTGTTTGGAAAAAATGTAACTTGAAGAAAAAGCCAACAAAATAATTAAATAAGAAGACGTGTTTGTTATTAAAGATCCATAAAAATGCAAGTAGGCTTGAAATCCAAAGGATCTGAAAATTAACACTCCAAGTACATAAAAAGAAAAGCATACTGAATAGGGCTGGCTTGAAAACAACAATTCCATTTTGCTAAACATTTCAAGGCTTTGAAATTTGTTTTTGTTCCAATATGAAACAAAAATGAGACTTTCTGGAAGTTTTCATGAAATGAGGAGAGAGAGAATATCCACTCCCTCTGGACCTGAAAAAATCTTCCCAACAAAACTGTCTCCAAAATAGATAATGTTTCCATGAAACATTCTGGTTTTGATGAAACAGCATTTTTCAACAGAAAAAATAAAGCATCAGCAGAAATATCATAGCTATTCTAATACCAAAGGCTTATCTAGGTTGGTTACTTGTACAAAGAAATTATGTTGAGAATTGAACCAATCTAATTATATTTATATAGGTCCCCATGTGAACATCATATCACTTTCTGTAGAAAGATACTCCGTAAGAGAATTGATCTATTTAAAGTTTTTTTTTCTTAATTAAAGATATTTTATGTTATTCAAAGAATGTAAAAGGAATCCCAGAATAAGCAAAATCTGAGAGGTACCATGTGTCAATCTGTTACTTATCTGGGGGGATTTTTCTACAAACCTAAGGACATTTTTATTCCAAAATGAGAATGGTTTAATGATTTGTGAGATATTTTTTTTAAGCAACTTAAACTGTGCTTCCAAAACCATACAGTCTTAACAGATTTAAGTTCTCTCATTAAGTACTAAGGGAAAGTCTATGCTTGAATCTTCAACCCAGATGGGTCAGTACTGTAGAAAAACATTCTGTAATAAACAGTTCTGCAATGAAAGGGAGGTGAACTAATGTTTTTAAGTATTTGAATCTACTGAAGAGGAAGAAAAAACTCATATTTAATGAAATATTGCATACGGTAATACTTCTCCATCCCTTGCTCTGCTAAGGGATGCTATTTGTGTGTTAGCTCATTTATGCCCATTTTGGAGTATGTTTGGCTCTGGTACTATTGGATATCCCAAAACCAGCAATGAGGACGCTTGATTGAACAAAGCCTGATTCAGTTGTTCCAAAGAATATCATCTCTGCCTGCCATAGCACACATTCCCATGAATTGTTCTCACCTTCCTCTTGTAGTCCTTTGCAAAATTTTCATCCCAGCTAAGCAGCAGAATTTTCCTTCCCATCTCCCGCAATACCGCTCAATGTCATCTGCAGAACTCAGGGACTGCAACTGCACTTCACTGAACATACCGTAGGCATCCTGGACAAGGAGGCATAACCTGCGAAACATTCCTGTGTTATTCACTGGCAAACTCGTTAGTAAATTTCTGAAAATTATACAACGAGCTTCAGGACAGTGCTTATCCTCTACAATATCTGGAGAATTGCTACCAAAAAATGTATCAATATACAAACCCAACATCATTAAAGGTTTTCTCATGCATATTTCCAGGAGGTAACAGGGCCATGAAACAAAGCATGACTGAAAAAAAGCGTAAAGGGCTTGCACTGGGGATTAGATAAATTAACTGCTATGCACTATGTGGTTTGTGTACTTCTAAAGAAAGAAGGTTGAGTTTTTCCTTACTTGAGGCAAATTCTGCAATGCAGACAGGGCAATGATGCAAATGTGTATGCGTGTGTGTATAAATGTAAAGATTCTGCTTGGAAGTAAACAAAGCAACTTATCTCACGAGTAATAATCACCAGCACTGAAAGCAGCAAAGCAAGCGTTACTTTTTCTGTAACTTTTAAAAGAGTCCTGAGGATGCAAAAAAAAAAGAGTGAAATGTCAATTTTTCTTTTAAAAAAACAACAAACAAACTACACAACATGAAACTGCAGATTAGTATATTCAATATTGGGTGTGAAGATATTTTATTTTAAGAAGATAGTAGTTAAAGAATCTGCTAAACAAACAACTTCATTAAAGTAATCTAAGGAAGTAGGGGCTGTAGGCTTGGGAAGTATTGCTTAACCAACTTGCTGGCGTTTTGAGGAGATACTACTGTCATAGCAGATAAGGCAAAATCAGTGGATGTCATACACTTAGTCAAAAATGCTTTTCACAAGGTTCTGCACCTGAGATGAGCCGCCACGATAGCATGAGTCACACAGTGCTGGAGGAAGGAGGCTGCTGTCTACGAGATTGGTTTAATTGGCCCAGAAAGAGACAGTTAAGCATGGAAACTTTTCAAAGGGAGACAAAAATTACCTTTGAGCACATACATCTTTACTTCTAAATAAAACCCAGGGGTGCACTAGGCAGGAGAATTCAGTTCATCCCAAAGGTACATGCCAAAGCTACCTTCTCCAGAGTGGTACCATTGTTGACAACAACCTGACTTCAACTGCTAACATATTATATGCATCCTGAAAGCATGCGACAGTAGTCATTGTATCTTTATAAAACACATTTTAAATGAAATGAGCTCCTACATTACTTTGGAAGAAATCCAAGTATTTCTTCACAGGGAAGCTTAGGCACATGGAAGATCATTAATCACAGTTTCCTTGTTCAGTATGAACTAACTTTGGCTTACACCCTTGAGAGGCCTGTATTTGACGTAAGATACAACTCCAAAGCCTTTCAAACATCAGCAGCCGTGCAAGCGCCAGCTCAGAGTCCTCATTTTTGAGATTCTGGTGCTGGTTTTGAGGAGTGGTAGGACTGAACACAAAGGAAGGCTCCCGTATTTTCCCCATTTCTTTAGCTACGAGGGTCCCACACAAACAGAGTCTTCACCAGGCAAAGAAAGCTTAGGTACAATTCCTCTCCACAGCCTGCCTTTTCAGCTGTGAAACACTGCTTCTGCCCTGAGCAATGACAAATAGCAGGGAACCAAATGCTGTTGTGATGTGTAGGCTGGAAGGATACATACCCTCATCTTTGGGACGAGGGCTGTTACCAGTCTAGAAAGAGGGTGGCTGCCCTAACGATACAAACCAAAGTCTTCAATGGCTCTATCCCACTTTTCATTTTCTGTGTAAAAAAATCCATGAGATGCCTTCTGGATTCGTACCAAAAGGTCATCTCCAACTCAACAGAACAAAGACTGATGTGCTATGAACATGACAGCCCAGAAGCAGAAAAACTACAGTTGCCTGCCGCTTTCCATGTTAGGACCTTGCAATCGGTTAAAAACTCTCACAAGTTTTAACTGATTGGACTGAAACTCCTCATGCTATTGTTTTGTTTGGAATAACAGAGCTAATATGCTCTGGACATTTCTGAAAATCAGATTGAGGGTAACAGGAAAAACAAAGCAAAGAGTTTTGCCTATGTTAACAAAACATTCAATGACTGTTAATTGTGAAAAATTAGGCCTCCGTATCTTGGAGCAAGCAAGGGCCAACTGAGTTAGCGTCTCAGATCTGATCAGTTCAGCAGTCTCCTAACTGGAATTTCTCATATCTTTAGTGAGATATAACTGAGCACAAGTAAGTCTCAGACTAGCTGGCACCAGGCTCAAAGTAAGTCCTGTGGGACATGCTAATTGCCCAAATAAAATTAGCTTGGTTGGTGCTGAAGACATCAGTCACTAGAAGTGCAATTTCCCAGTCCTTTTAAGCCAAGCAAAGAGATGGCTGCTGTCAGACAAGGGAGTCTCAACTCCCTGCCATCCCTTTGTGGTGGCAGCATCAATGGCTAGGATACGAAACTGATCTGACCAAAAAAATACTGTAGCCAAATAACATCATCATCTTCAGATCATCTCCTTGACAATTAACTCTGCAAACTCCTATTTGCATGGTATACCACTTCTAGACAAGGATGTATTTTCCAGAGGGGATTAGAAGCTGAAGGTCCCACTCCAGCTGTCTAGTGCACGTAGCACAATATCCCAGGTCATATGATGGGAGCATGGTCATCATATGACCAAGCTTGATATACAGAAGTAAAGGAGGAACTGTGTGACTTGAGGTTTATATCACTAATGTTCCCATTGACACTAGTAACGCATTCATGATTATTGGAATCATGAAGAAACACAGAGCAGCAGAACCTCTTGCACTAGACTCCAAGTACTTCCGCTCTATTAGGACCATACATGTGAACAGCCATCCACTATACTACATTTGTTCAAACAGTATCCTAAAGGTCATCACAATTTCTCTGCAACATGCATTTAAAGTGAAATGTATATTTTCACTCACTTGGAAGACAGAATTTCACAAATAACCTGCAGATGCCTAATTTCAGACTAAAAGATGAGGAATATCCCAAACTAATTCTATGAAGAGAACTTCACAAACACACGTTCCCTACTTCAGCACACTTTTAAAACAGTATGAATGAATGACAACAAAAACTTGAAATATTCTCAACATCATTTGATCCGTCTCACACTGATTTAGTAGGTAATGCTACAGTTATTCAATGATGAGTGACAACTGACTTTCCTACTTAATGACTATCATGAAATCAGCTGAATCCCACAGCAGACTCAGCAATGCATTTGGAGAATTATTCTCATGGTCTCTGAAACCAGCTCTATTCTTACAGATTTTGCACACGCTGTTAGCATCACTAGCAGTAGTTTCATTGCTTTCAGAAGCTGTTGATTCAAGGCCTTAACTTCCTCTCCAGCATTGTTTTTTTCCTTGATTTCACTTGATTCCCAGAAAAGTGCATTTATATTATTTTCCCATGTTACAGTGTTGCTCTCATATTACAGCAAATGTTCTTGCAAATTAAATTTTAGCAGCACGTCTAACTGTGATTAAAGCAACAGTTTGTCCCATGATTTTCCCCCCTTTGAAGCTCACTACCAGAATGAAAACCCACATCTAAATTATGAGACAAGCTGCAAATCCAAAATGAGTATTTGCCCCCAGGAACTCACCATTTATATTGTGTGCACATCTACCACAAATACTTTTTTTTCCATAAAATGTGGTGTTTGTACTGAATCAGTTAATCAGCTAAAACATACCTTTACCAATGCCTTGGCAGTATACATAGTAGTGAATGGTTAAAAAAAGGGGAAGACCAACATTTTTACCAGCGGTGCTCGTATAGGGAGGAAATAAAGGCCATCTTTGTGCAATAGGATGCAACCCTGCATAAGACTTGAATTTAAAATATGGTTTTGGAAATTGAAATTTCTCATACAAAGGACTAGAGAATTCACTCCAGGAGGAAGGGGTGTCAGGAAAGCCAGTAGAGGAGTGAGTGTGGGAGATGGAGACTAAGGAAAAGGTGAAGCATGACTCATTGGTAAAAACAAAGGGGGCGAAGATAGGGAACGATAAGAAATGAGGCAGAGATCAGCCTTTTTTTTATTATTTTTTTTTAAACTAATGACATGGTAACTCTCATGCAAAAGCTTGGGAAGATTTTGTTAATTTGCTAATAGCCAGGAGCAAGGATGGGGGCAGGGGGAAGATGAGACTGATTACTCTGCTTATTTCTATGACTTTGCTGATGTTTAGGACAAAATGTCTCCCACTAGAAATCTGGAGAGGATTACAGGATTACTCTGCCATGCCTTTCTCCTAGTTAGTCACTCCTCATGGGTAAAGGGTAAAGCCACCTTTTACTATTATTTTCCTTTATGCATGAAAAATAATATCTCTCCATACTGCTGCCTTGTATCAGGCAGCTGACTTTCTGGAGAATAGCAACAAAAGCCTTCAGCTTTGGTCACCTTCCAGCCTCCTCAGCAGCTAGTGGAAAAGAATAAGAAAAAGAAGATCTGCTTGGGGAGGAGATGGGAGCGCACAGGGGCCAGAACTGACTGATGACACAGGGATTGCCTTTACTGAGTCTTGTGAAAACCATCAGCAGAAATTTGTCATGAACAGATCTTACCTAACAAATAATTGTTTTACGCTAGGGTTGGAGGACAACCATGTGTCCTGCAGCAGCTTTTCCCGTGCACAGCAGTACGGCCAGGTCAATGCTCCCCCCTCGGCAGTGATCAGCGGGGCTCCATTAGTTAATCTTCGTTTGGAAGGGAGGGACAGGGGGGAATGGGAAAAAATGCTTGAAAACTAACTGAATTGTATTAGCTCCGATATTTGCTCATTCCTTATCTGAACCATCCAAGAGACAGCTGCTGCTGCTTTGTTTGTCAGAAGGCCGCCTTATCTCTTTGAGGTGCGGTCCTAGCAGAGGCCGAAAGCACATGTACATAAACACACATCAACAAAAACCCCCTCTCCCTTAATCGCCAGAGGCACAACACTACCTACACAACTCCAATTCACCAACGTGTCTGGTCAAGTCTCAAGGTGGAGCCGATTAACTCCTGCTAATTTGGCTCAGATTCAAATTGTAACCTGCAGGACACCACCCTACCGGGATTTAATTTATCCTTACCTTACGCACTCCTTGCTTTCACCATGCCTGATTATCTCTGAAAAATCAAAGCTCAGGGCATAGGTCTAAACACACAGGGATGAGCATCCATTGCCCCCACACCCCTGTAACACCAGCAGGATTTTCCTATGAAAAGCACGGCATTCTCAGATCACAAAATGCTTCATGTTCCCTTTCAAAAAGCACATACCTGCTGTAGCCTCCTTTAGGGAAACACAAGATTCAGATTTTTCTGCTTAAAATCTATGCCATTTGCAGTCACAAAATAGTGAGTGAAGCTGTACACAGCGGCAGTAACTATGGACTGAACCACACAAATAAAAATTAATGAAAATTATCACTAGCCTTTTCTGTGCATAGGTTGCAGAGGTACACAGGTTCAGAAAAAAATACAAGCGCTGCTGCTTCTAGTCTATACGGGGAATGTCAAGCTCAAAGAAGAATCCTGATGATGACTGCCTCCAAGTACAGATGTTTCTAGCACCCAAGCTGGTGCTCTGGTTTGAAGCACTGAGATGACCAAAATGGCAATCATTTGCTTTGAAAATCAGAGGTTTAAAATTACTGAAAAGCAGAGTTTGTGATCATGTACATTTTTATTCAGCAATTGTGGAAGGAGCCAGCATGAAAGAATGGAGAAGATAGTTCCGGAGTGCTGAAGCTGGCAGCGCGGGAACAGGGCACACAGTTAACACCAGACCCTCCAGTTCCCTCCAGCGAGAGACAGGCTGCCCTTCTAGAAGTATTGTTGGAAACTGCACATGTGACAGTATCACCAGGGCAATGAGTCTTATCTCAGCATCTCAAATAGAAAATGCATAGCAGAAGCCACCCCAGTCCCATGAAAGGAATCTGTTCTTTGTAGGCACTTATTAGTATGTGTGTAACAGAGTATTTATATAATACACTTTGCAAATAACTCACTACAGTAACTACAACAAGCCCATCATTTTGGAGTTTCCTTGGCTTTTCTTACATTTTTTATGCATATGTTAAAAAAACTGAGAAAGCGTGAGAGAGGTTATAAAATAACTATTGCTTGTTTTTATTCACTTCCTTGAATAGTCACTTACTTCAATACAAACTGGAAAATCAAGTGCAACTTCCACAAAGGCTTTCATGAATCCCTGCCCACTGGTTGCTTTTCCCATTTCTTCCTTCAGGTTAATCCCCCCCCTTCTATTTTCTGCCTATGACCTGAAGAAGCAGCACTTCTGTGGGAAACAGCTTTTGTGAGTAGGAAGAGACCCGTACGAGCCAAACACATCAGCAGGGCCACTCTGTTAATGCAGAACATGCACGTGGAGAATGGAGCTCCACGGCACTGTAAATGCACTCAAAACGCAGAACACCACCTGCCTGGCGGGAGCTACGTACAATT